ACGTTAATTGCGCACACACACCAGATGGAACATGAAATAACATGTATTAATTAATTAATAAGATATACCAGACATGATTCCGCGAGACACTCTGAGCTATAGCGCGCATACAAGGGTCGAAACCAGGGCGAAGCACAAAAGAATCACGAAAAGGCCTGGAAGATACAAGAAACCATCCTATCCAGGTCCCCCTCCTAATACGATTACAGATCCCCAAGACATCCTTAATAACCAATTCAAACCTCACTCCAACCGTTCATCTTCTTAGCGATCCAATGTCTCCTTCTAGTCCCGAATCCACCATGGTGACCGAATAGAAGTAATGAGTATTAAAAAAAAAAAAAATAAAAATAAAAATCCAATTAGAACCTAGTAACGTCGCGTAACCTCCATTTCCACTGCCCCTTGGTACGTTCATGAAATTTGGCCGTCGATGCAGCTACATACAGGTCCCATTAACATAAGTTTCAATGCTTATTATGAATGTGTTCGGTGGAGGAATAGTAGGGGCACTTGCCTTCGGATTTCTCGCAGGAGAAATCGGATTAGATTGGAACGAAACACTGGTTCGCAACGGCGACCTCTCCACAAGGGTTAGATCCGAAGGGAAACTGGCACAAAGTGTTGCAAACCACCCCAGGAGCAGTCCAGACCCTGTGTTCATGGCCAGGGAGTGTAGTGATCCTCCATTGCTTGATGGTGTTAGTGTCCCCGACGCCAGTTGCCTTGTACCCGGGACGGCTGCATGTCGACACATCAGCAAAAGTGCACAGTACTAATTAGGGAAGTTGAGATCAATCAGCGCAACTTACCAACCACAAAAGAGAGATCGACCAAAAGAGGAGCAAGGTGCGGTGATATCACAGTTGTTGGGACTTGAGATACAGTTGGTGCAAGGTGGCAGAGGTGGGAGGGCAGAGGTGGAGGTAATAGAGGCAACGAGGAGGGCAACAACGAAGGAAGTGATGCGGGCCATTTCGAATCTCAAGTGCTTTAGCGATGAACTCGAGGGGTGAGTGAGTGCAGAGTGGATAGCTGGAAGTCTGAGAGATCGAGAATTGAGTCGAAGCTTGTTGGCGTGGGTGAGGAGCAGAAGAAGGACTTACAGCGGGGAAAATAGGAGGATTATATAGATGTCAAGGCTCCAATAACCAGCACCATTACTCTGATCATGCTTACAATCACTTGATCGTACTCCAGCCCGACCGAGCAACCTGTAGGTAGTCTGTAGAGCTTGGGGCTGAACCTGAGGGCTGAGATCTAGACCACCGCACTGGCAGCTATTTTTAAATATTTTCCGTTGCCTTTATATAGCTACCCATCACTGAGCCGTCAGTCACAGAAGTATTACTTCCCCGCGATTTAGGAAGAAAGACCGATCTTACAATTTGGCCCATGTTTATGCAGCATGAGTCAAGGCTTACTTTTACTGGCTCCTTGAGTTGCCAAAGGATGGGGATCTCATGTTCTTGACCACTGCTTACGATTGAAAAAAATTAGGCCAGGTCAATAAGGTTGCCTTTGAAGTCTAGAGCCAAGTGCATTAGCTAGAAGAGTCGAGATGTAGTGCAAGTACATTAATTTGGAACATATGCAAATCCGGAAATCAGGCTCTGAATATTAAATTACAAGCTTCGTGTTTTTTTTTTGATAATATAACTCATACCCATTATCTGTGTGTCAAAACAGACTTTTTTTATGGTCGCGGAACCTTTTTTTTTTTTTTTTTCAAAACACTCATTACTCATAAGCGGTCCCAGTAAGGGGACCATGATGGAACCTGGATGGATTCAGGACAAGACAAGGCAATCTGCCAGGTCCGACGCCTATATACATACTGTAACATAAACTCGAGCAAAAGCAAATATAAAGCACTCGGGAGGGAAGCGTAGCCATACCCTCTGACACTGTCCCAACTGAGCTAAAGTCGCGTAAGGGTGGTAAATTTGATTCCTATATATTCACATGACTCCTTGTTTCTGGATTTTTGTCGAAGATGTGGAAAGCATGAGAAAGAACATGTATTAATTAATCACGCACCCGAGACATAATTCTATGAGATGTGCTAGCAACTGATCTGAGCTAATAGCGCGCATATAAGTCGAAACCAGGCCAAAGCACAAGAGAATCAGGACAAGGCTGAAAAATAAAATAGATCAGAAAACCGGAATACCAAATCCATCATATCCGAATCACAATACCAAGCCACGAACAGTCACTATTCTCCCAGCATCCTAAACCAATTATAACCCTCAATCCGAGCCCTTCGCCTTCTTAGTGATCCAAGCCATAACCTGCTTCCTTCCCCCTTCTATTTCCGATGGCAACCTACTAACGTCTCATCATTGCTTCCATTTCCATTGTGTATCTGAACTTTGGCCGTCGATGCAGCTATATACCAAGTCTCGTTAATATGGTTTCATATGACTACCGACGTCTCAGGGAGGAATAGAGGGGGTACTTGCCTTCGGGTGCTTCGTAGTAGACTGAATTAGTATGGCGGGGGCACAAAACACTGGTTCGCAACGGCGACCTCTCCACAAGGGTCAGACCCGAAGGGGAACTGGCACAAGGTGTTGCAAACCACCCCAGGAGCAGTCCAAACCCTGTGTTCATGGCCAGGGAGTGTGGTGATCCTCCATTGCTTGGTAATGTCAGTGTCCGAGATTGCGTAGGTCGTCGCCTTGTAGCCGGGACGGCTGCATATCGACACATCAGTATTAGGACAGCAAGAGGTACAATACGGTATTATTTAGGGAAGTGGAGAACAAGTCAGAATCAATGCAACTTACCAACCGCAAAAGAGAGAGCCTCCAAAAGAGGAGCATGGCGCGGTGATATCACAGTTGTTGGGGCTTGAGATACAGTTGGTACAAGGTGGATTTGGTGGGCGTGCAGAGGTGGAGGTAATAGAGGCAACGAGGAGGGCAACAACGAAGGAAGTGAAGCGGGCCATTTCGAATCTCAGGTTCTTTAGCTATAAACTGAAAGGTTGAACGAGTGCAGAGCTGGTTGCTGGAAGCCTGAGAGATCGAGGATTGGGCTGAAGCTTGTTGACGTGGGTGAGGATGAGAAGGACCTACTACGTGAGAAATGGAGGATTTTATAGATGTCGAGCTCCTACAAGCAGCACCTATGGTAGCAACAAAGAGCTCGAACAAGTCGTCACCGACCACTATTCTGAGCTAGTGGGCCGAGCCTGAGGGCTGAGATCTAGGCCCACCGCACTGACAGCTATTTTTGGGCACTCTCCGTAGCCTGTATCTACCTGCAACCAGAATGTGTTTTGCAATTAGGTTCATATCATGATGAGTCAAGGCTTGTCTTGATAAGTTTAATAGTCAGGTGCGTTTAAGCATTAAGCTGACAGGGTTGGGAGGGTAGGGTAATTATGTCAAGAGATCTCGTAGTATGTATGTCATTCACATCGTGATTCTATAGCTGATCTCCCAAGTTTACCGATAGGCTGAGGATTTAAGCTTAACATTCTATGATAAGTTCTGCACCTAGGATGATTGATGAACATTGAGAGCAGCTTGAACATACCTAATGACAAAATACTCAGTATTATACCGATATTAACCAGTATTCAAGACATGACAAGCTTGTTTATGTCACTGAGTCTAGAAGATAATTCCATGCGCCTTTTCTGACTCTAAGAATTTCTTTTTACAATCTGGGGATAGATTTCCCGAATTGTATATTGTATCCCACAACATGCTGTATGCCCGCCGGTGGAAGTATCTAGAGATCCCACAAGAAAAGGTTACAATTCTATTAGCTAATAATTTTCAGTCTTGAAATTTTACCAAAGCTTGACCAGCGTCGGTAATATTTTCCGGAAACGCCGATCAGTCTGCATACGGCGCAAGAACGCCCGCTACCGGTAACTTCTAGTTATAGATATTTAAAGCACTGCCGCATATACTAGCGATCAAAGCTCCAGCCAAATGAAATCTTCGGAAGAAAAATTGACTGCATTATCTAACTTTCTGACAAAATCCAAGTCAAAGCCCGATCACAGGAATCTCAGAAAGGGAAGGGCAAGGTCAGCTATACAGGTTGAGTGCGCGACTGTCTCGGCAGTGGCACTCTTAGTTTGGCCGGGGTCTTTGATTCCAGTCTACGGTACTAACTAGGATTCCCCGCACTTTCTAATCCGTTTTGATACGTTGATGGAGGTACGGTAGCAGCTCAAATGCTACCTCTAACAAAAAGCAAAAGCTATATTTAGAGGTACTTAGCAGCTAGTTCCAAAAGCCCTGTCAGCCTTATATATTTCTACACCAGTCAGTCTTGTTACTTTGTAGTCACGATATTGGAGGATGCGCGGTAATACATGTGTAATCAGGGATGCTTGTGTAACGTACCAATAAATATGGCATACCGCGTGCATCACATGAACAGCCAATGCTTAATTAAAAATAGTATTTTGTATAATCTTAACCCTCCAAGTCTCTTTCGTAATATCTACTACCCTGAGACAGACCGTTTTCAGCCCACCTGCACGTCTTTGTGCACAACAGGGCTGGCTGGCCTGTTCAGCTCCCCAGCCTAGACACTTCTCTTGCATAATAATAATAATCGGGAATCATAGTCTACGTGAGCACCGCTCCTCAACACTGAAGATTTTCAAATCGACCACGGGACTTGAGTGCAGCCTCTCTAGTCATAAGCTACCCTCAAACGCTCAAATTTATGGGAATTGATTCCTCAGACAACGTGCGGCTTTTGTCATTGTGGGGCTGAAAAGAGTTCAAGCTAGTTGGGGTCTGATCGAGACTTGCTGATTGCGAATACCTACAAAGGCTTAACGTATAAACGTGGCACAACACCTGCTCTAGCATTACCGAGACGACAGGCTTCGTGGTCCGGTTACAACTAGTCTGGCTTGCACTAGCCCCTCCGTTGGTTACACCAGGCTTCGACTTAGGTACAGTACATATCAAGCAACTTAGGTATGTTACATCAAAATGAGGTGGGCAGAAAAAAAAATCACTTGGCTGTGCACGGAATCGAACCGCGATTGTATCGGGCCGTTATGCCAATCCACAACGATACGTGCTACCATTACACCACACAACCCTGGAACGGATACGTGTATGTGACTTGTTTTATATAATTTCTACAAAGGATCGAAGTTTGTACCAGCCGTGAATAAGTATGTAGGTACGACGTATGCAGCGTCAAATATCTAAGTAATTATTTAATCTCTAACTAACACCTTAATACAAAGACAACCTGTGTGGCAGTCTGGTTGGGTGTTGCCAACCATACTAAAGTACCAGTACACTAGTCTCGTACCCAAAGTATTCCGCCCCGTCATGACGTTAGGTCGATCGTGGGTATAAGAAAGAAAAAAAAAAGAAAAAAAAAAGGCCCCAAAGTATCCGTACTCCAGATTCGCGCGCATTCTATCAGAATAAAATTCTTCATGAAGCTAACCGTCAACCTGACAATTGAGCAAATAATATATTTCAGTAGTATTACTGAGAGTCGCTTGTAGATACATACTACATACATAAGTGCCTATACTCCAAACTTACTGCGAGCGCTGGGCCGGGACTCTTGTACAGTGGACCTTCTCGCCGCCAGTTCAGATTGCAAACTGTAATCCTATGAGGTCTAGATCTGCTTTGCGTGCCTGCATGCGGGATATGGGGTTTGAAGAAGTACCGCTACAAAGAACTGTGCTGGTGACGATCCAAACGCGAGACCTTGGAAACGATAAATCTTCCGAAACCACAAGCCCTCTAAACCACAAGGCCTCTGAACCACAAAACCCTTGAAACCACAAGACCTGAGGCTTGCGATGAGTTTTTTTTCTGAAAAAAAAAAAAAGACAAGGAAATCTAGCCTAAACCTACATAACGATCCGAAGAGCACTTGCTTGACAAGACCTAAGGCTGTGAGCTATATAGCCATGATCTGAGAGATGACTTGTTGAGTGAATTATCATGTCGGCCGTCGGAAGTCCCAGGTTGGCAGGGGGGAGAACCGGCTATAAATTGCACAGAGAATACGGAGGATAAACTGCACATGGGTCGTATGATGACCTGCTGGGGGAATAGTGCAAGAGATGACAATATGAAGGATGAAGTATTACATATAAATCTTGATTGATATGGACTAGGTACTGATTGTAATAATATTTGATTAGTTTTGTCTAGAACCAGGCTTATAATCTTTAATTAGACAATTTGATCATATGCTCACATAAGAAATAAAGGCGCTCAGCCCCCTTTCGCCCGCGGGTGCCGTACTATTCAATGCCTGGCCTGGAAATAGTCATATTGGGAAATCGTAGTCGTTGTATAGACTTATATATATATGTGCGAGAAACTCGTGCTTTTGGAGACATATATATATATATGCGAGAAATCCAGGCATCCGCGGGCACATATATATATGTTCTGGTCCGTTCCGGGATCCGGTCCATACCGGTATGGCCCGGTCCATACCGGTATGGACTGGATATCGCAACGGACCAGGCCGTTACGGTATGGCTGGATATCGCAACGGACCAGGCCATTACAGGATTAAATTGTTCAATGTCACGGATAGCAACAAGCATTGCGGCCACAGCGGCCACAGCGACATTAAAATTACTAAATAGGGACATATCCGATATGAAGGTAATTTTGTAGCAACATTTGGTCAAAGAACATCGGAGATAACATAAAATGACCTATCGTAGAAAATACTCAGTAGAGGTATACCCGAAATGAAGGTTATTATGTAGAGAAACATTAGGTCAAAGAACAAGAGGATGTAGCCCTCACAATAGTAGCCTTTAAAGATCACGATGCCACAGAGTTTTAACTATTGCTTTGCTTGATCACACTCTTACCGGTCTCTACAATATCACACTCTTACCGGTCTCTACAATATCACACTCTTACCAATCTCTACCAATGTCTATCGCTCAAGATCATACTGAGACTGATCTCAACCAGTTTCATCCTCTAGGGTCCGCTCCATCTCCAAGTACTATTGAAGCATTTTCTGGTACTGCCTGCACCAACTTTGAAGAGTATTTGTATACAACAAGTAACAAATCTCGCTTGACTTTTGAGAAGTAATAACCCTGAAATTATCTAGTATAATAGTGACTAATAAATGCTATCTAGGTATCGCAAAATTAAGGCATACCTTCGAGATCCAAATCTAAAGGCTGCTAAAGGCAATACAACAGAAATTAAGCTACGATCAAAGGCACTCAAGGAATATGAGCTATGAAATAATGCTTTATATTTTATTGCTGGGAAAAATAATCAACGAGTAGTCTTAGAGCATGACGTATTTGACGTTATTGCACATACTCATGATGCATTAATGCATGCAGGCAAGAACAAAACCTATGCAACTATTAGTGAGAAGTACCATAGAATTAATCGTAAGGAGGTATAGTTAAGTCTGAATCTACTTAGTATATATTAATATTAATTTTTGGTATAGGTTATGGAACTGTTACAGCATTGTCAACTATGTGCACGTAATAAACCAAGTCAAAGTTATGGTCCACTACAACCATTCATTGTTAATAATCTTTAGGAACGAGTACAAATTGATCTAATCGATATGCGAGCTGATCCAGATAGGGAATACCAATGGATTTTACATATTCGGGATCATTTTAGTAAATTTTCTAGTGCTTATCCTTTAAAGTCTAAGGAAAGTACTGAAGTTGCTAATATCTTCCTCATGTGGATTGGACAATTTGGTCCACCAAAAATTCTTTAATGCAACAATGGTAATGAGTTTAAAGGTGAAGTACTTGTTATTATAGAATATCATGGAATTTCTTTAATACGAGGACGTCCACGCCATCCTCAAACACAAGGATTGATAGAACAAGCAAATGCTGTTCTAAAGTAGAAGATTTGAATGGCCAAAGCTAAATCAGGTGACAATCGATGGGTACAGATTTTACCTATTGTAATTTTAGCAATGAATCAACAAGTAAGTAATTATTTCTAATACTCAGGCTAGTCTTATAATAATGAAACTAATAATATTAGATTCACTCGACAACTGGATATAGTCCATATGAAGTTGTATTTAAACAAAAAGTACATCATCTTCCAGGTCGTTTATCTCCAATCCTAAATGCAAATGATGAGGAAGTAGAGAATAATGATAAGGAAGTAGAAGATGAGGATAATGAAGAGGAGGAGGAGGATGAGGAGGAGGGGAGGAGGAGGAGGAAGAGGAAGAAGATGATGAGGAAGAGGATGAGCAAGAGGAGGATAATGAAGAGAATGAGGAGGAGGAGGATGACAAGGAAAACAGTTTGATTGAACCTTCGAGTCAATCTACTTCTGTTCAACTTGAACTTCCCACTGGCAGTACCGACATTATGCTAGCAAAAGTCCGCAAACGTACTGCAACAGCTCGGAAGAAAATGGCAAATCGATATATTCAACAGCACAAAATAGATACCTTCATAATAGGTGATTTCGTCAGCTTACGAATTCCTGGTATTGATCGAGCTTCTACCGACTATCGCCGAATTTTTTGTAGAGTTGTCTACAAGCCTCATCCTGACCAACATCAGCTATATAGTGAATATGGCCTGTTAGATCGATACTATCCCACTAGCGAATTGGAGCGGCTTCCTTCCAGTATTAGACCAGCCTACCTTGAGTCTATTCCATTAGAATGGCAAAGTCAAAAACCAAAGTGGCTGCATGAAGTTACACGTCTTGCCTCTGCTGGATCTATAGTTCGCTGCAAATGCAAAGGCCTATGTTCTGACCATCGCTGCCAATGCAAAAAAGAAGGACGTTCATGTACTGCCCATTGTCATACTGGATTAGGGCTGCACCCATGTACGAATTCAATATAAGAGCTAGCAGGATATTAAGCAAGCGGGGGATTGAGCAAGTGGGTATGAGGATTGAGCAAGCGGGGGATTGAGCAAGTGGGTATGAGAATTGAGCAAGTGGGGGATTGAGCAAGTAGGTATGGGGATTGAGCAAGCGGGAGACAAGCGGGAGATGCGGAGGTCCTTCTTAGCCTGTATATCCGCATCCATATGAGAAATCATCTGCCTCAGTCAGCATCCACTTCCATCATACTTCCTAGCATGAAACACACCAATATCTAGAGCTGGTAAAAGCATGAAAAACACCAATATATAGTGCCAGCGGAAGCATGCAAAACACCAGTATACATGCACTCATTGTAAATTTCCTTATTGTTTATTATGTACATAGATTATAGAAATGATAATAGAAATAAATAATAGAAATAGATAATAGAAATGGATAATAGAAATAGATAATAGAAATAGATACAAACCTAAAGTTTACTGCTGCCATTGCCTATATGGTATGTAGGTTGGTTAACATCTATAGCAAAGGTATAAGGAGTAAGGTACTTACTTTTATCACCCAAAGAGCCTAGCCCTAGCCAGTCACGATATATAAGAAGATAGGAAAATAAGAATACAAAGAAAAAAACCCTCCCCCTCCCTTCCTACCCCCTGCCCCACCTCCCTACCTCCCCCCCTACCCCCCTACCCCACCTCCCCACCTCCCCCCCTACCCCACCTCCTCACCTCCCCCCTACCCCCCCTACTCCACCTCCCTACCTCCCCCACCTCCCCCCTACCCCCCTACCCCACCTCTCTCCCTACCCCCCTACCCCCTACCTCCTGCCCCACCTCCCCCTCCCACCTCCAGTCCCTCCCGCCGCCAGCCCTCCCCTCCCGCCACCAGCCCCCACTGCCAGCTCTCCCCGCCGCCAGCCCTCCCCTCCCCTCCCACCCCCAGTCCCTCCCGCCGCCAGTCCCTCCCGCCACCAGTCCCTCCTGCTGCCAGCCCTTGCCCCTGCCCCCAGTCCCTCCCGCCGCCAGCCCTTGCCCCCGTTACCAGTCCCTCCCACCACCAGCTCTTATACAATAACTCCCTCAAGCTCTCCCGCCACTAGCTCTCCTTACAATAACTCCCCTCCAAGCCCTCCCTCTACCAGCTCTCCCATAATAACTCCCCCCCAGAAAAAGAACCAACTCCACTTTTTTTTTTTTTTTTTTTTTTTTAATATTTTTTTTTTTTTCCATGATCCCTTCCAATCATCCTATT